GTGTCGGGCTCTCTGGGGCGCCTGGTTGTCAGCAGGGACCTCTTGTCTGGCCGTGGGCGGGAGAGCTGGGGCCAGCCGTCCCTGGAGCAGGCAGATTGCTTCGCAGCTGCCTTTCTTCCGGCAGCCAAGATTAGTCAGAAACCATACTGAAAAAATTGCACTTGTTTAATCTACAGCTGCATCCACAAGGGAGGGTTTTTGGTTTCCTCTTCGCCTGCAAGGACAGCGGGGAATTGGCCGGGTTCGGTGGGGGGTCGGTGCGATGCGCGATGCAGTGGGCTGTGCAGCGTCAGGAGCCGGGGGCGGCAGCAAAGAAGCACCAGCAGCGCCCGGGCACGGGGCAGCCGCGTTGGCACACCAGCGTTAAGGGCTTTCCTGCTTTGCAGTGCCTGTGCGTGTGTGTGGCCCTCAAATTAGGGGAGCACGGGCATCTCTTCTGCCCAGGCTGTCTGCCGGGTTGTTTTGATCAGGGAGGGGGCGATGAGGATGCGAGGCAGCTGCCTGCGTCTGGGTGCAGGCAGCACCTCTCATGTTGCCCCCTCTCCTTTCCAGGGTACGAGCCGGCCGTCCCATTACTACGTGCTCTGGGATGACAACCGGTTCACTGCGGATGAGCTGCAGATCCTCACGTACCAGCTGTGCCATACCTACGTGCGCTGCACCCGCTCGGTCTCCATCCCGGCCCCGGCGTACTACGCCCGACTGGTGGCGTTCAGAGCACGGTACCATCTCGTGGACAAGGAGCACGACAGGTGAGGGGGCTCTGCAGACCCGGGGATGGGCAGGGGGCACGAGTGCCCTGCCTCAGTGTCTGAAGGTGCTGGTGTCCGAGCGGCGCCGCGGCAGACCCTTTCTGCGGGGGCAGACGTGCGTGTAGCTGCATCCCCTTCAGTCCCAGCCTAGAGGGAGTGGGGGGTCAAGGAGCGTTAAATCCCATCCTGAGCTCATCCCGTGCCTGGAGGAGCATCCCAGGGGTGTTTGAGCGTTACCAGCCCCCTCAAGGTGCTGGAATCTCAGCGGTGCCAGGTGTGGTCACCAGCATGCGCAGTGTCCCCGTGTGGGATGCCTCCCTGGTGAGATGCCTCCCGGTGCTGCCAGCACTCCCTGATCTCCAAGGGGCTTTTCTCAGTGTTTCTGGGGGGGGGGAAATATGAAATAATTATGCAGTGATTTCCTTGACTTTCAGTGGCGAGGGCAGCCATATATCTGGACAGAGCAACGGCAGAGACCCCCAGGCCTTGGCGAAGGCTGTGCAGGTTCATCAGGACACTTTACGTACCATGTACTTTGCTTGAAAGCCTAACTTTTGTTACCTCACTCAAGAAAGCTTTCAGATTTGTAGGAGCCATACAAAAAAGGAAGCATTGGGACACCTTGGTTTTTTTCCAATGAGAAATCACTGCAGGGCAGGCAGCGTCAATTTGAGGCAGGAGACCAGCACCACGGGACAGAAAGATCCAACACCTTTGTAGGATTGGAAGAGACTGATGATTATTTTTTTAATTTTTCTGGCTTTGCAAAATTTTGACCTGACCAAACACATGAAGGCATTCAAGGAAGGGATAAAACTCCCAGGAGGCGGAAGCAGGTTTTCATTTTTAAGATGCAATACTATAGACTCCTGACTGTGAAATGGCGGATTTGGTCCTCCGTTGCCCACCAGGCGCTGGTAGGTATTTTTTGTGGGGGTTGGGGGGAGGGAATTTTTAGAGCCTTAAAACAGAAGACTAGATTTATAAAACTAATATTTTAGAATATGAGATGCTTTAATGGGTTAAGGGGAAAACCAACTAGTTTATAGGAGAATTCTAACACTAACAGTTCCCCGGCCCTGAATAATTCCCCCCATATAATGTAAGGCACCCTAGCACTTAGCTCAGAACTGAAAACTGTCTTCCTTGTGTTACAAGCTAGTTAGCTGCTGCCATTTGAAGCAACAGTCACAGACTTTTCCATGGGTGAGTGCCTTACTATGATGCTGCAAAATTTCAATGTTTTTAATCTTGTAAGGAAAACAGTAATCTTGTCTTGATGGTGGTCCATATTTCCATGGGAAGGAGTTAATTTCTATGGTCCTAAGTTGCAGTTTGTGTTAGATCACGACCTCACGGTGGTTAAACTCCATTGAAAGATGTGCACTTTCACATAGGACACGTTTAATGGCTGCTGACCCATTTTTGTTTCCAATGTACTACTTGTTATTTAAAACTGTTTCTGACAAATGGGGGCATCTTCATCCCATGAGGACAGAAATCGCTATTGATTTTTTCTATTTTTTTCTTTTTTTTTTTCCTGAACTTTTATGATGGACACCGGGATTTTTTTTTTACTAAACATTATTTTTATACGATACTGAGTCTGTTGCCAAAATACACAGGTCATTAACATGCTCAGAGTTTACATCACCGTGCTTCCCGAGGCTGTGCGCTCATGCCAGAGATTTCTAAGGTTTCCTGTCCGATGAGTGTTACCAACTGTGCAGCGCCGGGTGCTCCTCAGTGCCCGTCTCCCATGTGCATTCGGCACGTGTCTGCCCGGGTCGGCTGCTCTCTGAAGTACCGCGTACCCCGAGGCCAGCACCTCCAAACTGTCACCCTCTCTGCTGCTAGGTTTTGCTGCTCTTTGTGTCATGGTGTCACTGATCTCATGCACAGGGATGTTTGGGGTTTTTTTTTTTTATTCTGAAAGCACACCTGATTTGTTCCTTAGAATGACGACATCTTTGTTATTGTCATGGGGGAAACTCCTACTGATTTGTGTTTGTAACAGGAAAAAAGCCTTTTTCCCAGCGGTGACATAGCGACTGCTTTTCAGACTCATTTTGCTGCGCAGATGACCGTTGTGCACAGCGGGGCAGTAGTAGCAACTCATCACCAATATCATGTGGGCAGATTATCTGTTTTGTTTTGGTTTTCTTAATATGAAAGTGTGCACAGTGCTTCCTTCAAGAGAAAAAAATGACGCGCACACTCCTACCAGGCTCTTAAAGGGAAGAGCTCTGCTGTGAGTTTTCCTGCCAAACGTGAACGCATTTCCCGGGCAGATACACCGCGAGCCCTGCCCCTCGGCAGTGCGCGTGGGTAGAAGCACACCTTTTTGTTTTGTACTTTCTGACGTTTAAACTTGCCTTGCCTTCATGAAAACCACATTGGTCGTGTTGGCCCATTGATCTGTCCTAACACCCGGAATTCACTCTACCCGTTTTCTTTTTGGGCGTGTTTGTCAAAAATGAAGACATCACTATGCTATGCAAACCAAGTGCTGAGCCCACTGATGTCATATTTTGTGAAGATCTACGTTTAGCACAGTCCTGTTTTTCCTCAAGACTACGGTATTTGGTTCATACTCTCCTTTGCACCTTGTGTCAACCTCCACTGCTGTATATCTGCAAGGTGACGGGGAGGAGACCAGGAACTATTCATGGTCAGTGGGGTAGTGAACTCTTAGGAATGCTTTTAGGGAGTAGGGAATGCATCAACACGGAGTGTCAACATGAGAAGCCTACATTCCTATACACAAGTGCCTGCATAGTGACACAAATCCAGCACCTCTCCATCTCACCCTCAGAACTCTGGCTTGTGTTCGTTGAGAGCAAAAGGATCTCGGAGGGGCTGTACCCGCTCACCCTGTGTTAGAAAGCCCCTTGCTAAGAATAAAATGGGGGTTAAGGTCAAGGTTCTCTCTGCAAATCAGTTTGTTCACCAGCATTACAATGGAAAGCACCTGGCTGCTGTTCTGCAGCGAGGGGCAAAGGTATTTTGGTTTCTAGTTTTTATTTTAGTGTTTTAGTTGGGTCTAGAATTCTGAAATGTCTTTTAGTAGCTGTGGCATAGCACGTGCCATTTTTAACCATTTGAAAAGAGATAGTGTGGGCATTTACAGAAACAGCTTGTTGCTCTGTAACAATTTTTTTTAACTTTGAGACTTGAAATGTAAAATGGACCTTTAAGATTTGCACTCATTTGTAAGGTGGCTGTTCATAGAAAACTATGAATGAAGACTTGCTGATGTAGCACCTACTTTTAACAGCGATTTTAACTACACAAAAGCTTCACAGCTTCTGAAACTCTCAGCTGTTGACTTGCAGATCCTGTTCTGCCCTTACTTCACCCTCTGCGTTGGGTTTTCGTGGTTTTGAACAAATAAAAAAGCCAAACTCAGTAGCTGCTGTGCCCTTTAAACCCGATTTCCATTTTGCAGAAGTTTAGAAGGGGTTTGAGTTACCCGCATGTTTTGTATGATGGACTATGCACTGTACCTTCCACGCAGCTCCAGCATTCAGCATTTCTACCCTTCTCTTGTCCGAGATGCAAACGACTAACTGCATGTTGAGGTGCTGTGTATTTTGCTACCCATAGCGGATAGGTGTTAACTCAGATACATACCAGGAGGTGTAGTTAGCCACAGACCCCACACGGACATCCCCAACGGCTCCCGAGTCTCTGCCTCCTCCACGCGCACGTGTTCCTCCTGCAACTGGAACCATCACCAGGTGCATGCAGTTTTGTGGGAAGAGGAGTCACTTCCATTTACCTGTCAGTGGTTGAATGCTGTTTGTTTCCCTTATCTCATCTCTGAACGACCCGGGGGGCGGGGGGGGGGGGGGGGGGGAA